GCATGTGAAACATATCCCCAGCTTGAGCCATTTGCACATGTTGCAGCTTCAGTTCCATCATTTCTTTCTTTCTCTTTGTAGCACTCCATTTTATTTATGAATCATTATTATTTGACATCATTTTGTGTTTTTTTAACCTATCCTGTCTCCTGCCTCCAATTAAATATAAGTACAACATGAGCACCTTTCTCTTTTGCTCCCATGTTGACCCTTAACAACTTGAACAATTATAGGCCCATAGTTGATACTCAGTGACATCCGAAATAACATCTGTGGAGATCCTCAAAGACCTCCAATAGCAAATGATATTTATCATGAAAAAAACCCCACATGTGAAACTAGAATAATGTTCCCACAATAGAAAACTGTTTAAATTAAAAAAAAAATCATATGGTTAGGTGAATTGTACATAGCAGTTGCTTTAAAAAATAAGAATGTGGTACTAGGCTAAACATATAAGCAAAAGTTAGGTCTTTCTATTAATTCTGAAAGCCATAAACTTAATTTTGTCACTAAAAATCACCAAAGGATATTATGTGAGTAACAGGATAATATTATGTTTTCATAGGATGTAAATACATTTTTTAAGAAACCAACTTTCTAGACAATGTTATCATGGAACTCAGCCTATATTTGTCCTCAGCTCAGACCAAATACTTGAGCCCAGCTTAAGACAAATGGATGCTGAGAACCTTAAGTGTCTGTGAGTGCAACCCATGCGTCATGGCCTGGAAAACCAGTGGGCTGAGCTTGTACTGCAGCGGAGATGATGTGACAGACTAGTGACTGCTCCGATCCGGTGGATGCTGTGCTTGAGGCACTGACTGAGTGTCCAGTAGAGTTCTGCTGCTTTCAGAAACAGCAAATCTTTTTATGTATAGCTGTCAGAAACCCCTTCCAATCAGGCTCGGGTATTCACTCACATACAGGGTAAACTGTTTATCAGCAGTCAGGTTGAGAGAGCAAAGGAAGAGAAGAATGAAATTAAAGTGAATCGTAGCTACTAAGTTCTGAGACACAGTGTGTAAATATGCCACAGTTAGTCTCTTTCATTTGAATCTGCCTTCCTGGGAAGAAACCATATGTCATAAAAAAAATTCATAGTTTCTTTTTGATTAATCTCCAGTAGGAAGCCCAAAGATATTAAATCTTGGTGCTCTCACATTTTTCTTCTCCTCTCATAAACAATTCAATTCGATTTGAATTAATATTTATCAAGCGTAGACACAATGCATGACAGCACAGTGGATGCTGTAATAGAACTATGACATAAAAGGTATAAAAACCATCCCTAAGAAAAGAAAACATTCTATTTTATTCAGGACAATAAGAATAATATAGAGAGCAACCACTGTACCATGAGATAATATCAAAGCTTATTTAATTCAGTCAGCATTTATTATTAACCATCTTCCATAGTCAAAGAAAATAGAATGTTCTAAACCAAACCAGAAGCTATGTTGACAAAGACTTGGAAAAGTAATATATTTTGTCTGAAGAAGGGAGTTTGAACATTTGTAGAGAAACAAATGCATGCAGTGCCTCATGTATGAATAAACTGGGTTATTTCTCTTAGCTAGACATAGATAAATGAAACCTCATTTGTTAATGTTTGTTTTGGTTTAATGGTCCTAAATGTCTTTTAGAACTTGCTTTACTGGGCCAAAGTTTTCTGCTCAAGCCAGTCAAAATGAGATAATCTTGGAACAGATCTTTTTTTGAGGGGGAAATAAAACAATCGCAGATAAGAATGCTGGCGCTGTAATTGGATTATCTGGGTTCAAATCCTCACTCCATCTCATACTAGATTATGAAATCTCTTTTTCCTTCAATTTGACCATCCAAATGATGTGAACAATAGTTTCACCTAGGATTAAATCAAGAAACTTGCAAAGAGATTAGACTGGTAAATTTATGGTATTTAATGAATGTTAATTTTTATTTGCCCAGAATAACATGGCAGCAATTAAGATATTTACTCCCAAATAATATAACAATATTTTGGGATCTTCTGTCATCAGGACCACATTTTGTAAACAAGAAACAAGCAGATAGGTAGAAAGATGATATTAAAGGTATGTTAAATAACAACTATCATTATAGGTAAGTCAGGAGATGCACTATATGTTATAGATTTGATTCTCCCTACAATCTAAGTTAGATGATGCCAGCCCCATTGTGTATATAAAGAAACTGAGGCTGTTTTGAGTTTTCAGATGATCTGTTAATATGTTTTACTAGTTAGTCTGTCATTTGCAGCAAAATGAATGCACATGGAGGACATCCAGTTAAATAATATCAGATAGACCCAGAAAGACATGTTTCCTCTAATAAGTGGGAGATAAAATGAAAACTCTGTATGAACACAGAATAATTCAGGAGGTTTGGAGGAGTGGGAAGTTTAGAAGCAGTCTGGATTTAAAATGTAGAGGAATCAGCGTATCATTAATTGTGCGAAATATATTAACAATATGAATAATAATACTAATAAAGAAGCTGGTTGTAGGGCATATGAAAGCTATTTGCACTATTTAACAATTTTTGTTTTGTAAAATTAAAAATCACTGGGACTTATACAGTTTATTTAAGCAGAAAGTCCTGCTTGACATGAGTTGTGATGGGAGGTAACCTCATTTGTTTAATATCTACAAGAGTAACTTTTTAAAATTTAGTATAATCCTTTTTTAAGCTCTAATTTTACTCATGGGTATTGAGATTCCTAATAGAGGGAGGTAGGCTACATGATAGAAGAGGCAGATTTCATCTAATAGCGCACTGTCTAAGAAGATGGATTAGGAACATAAAGAGCTAATAACACCAAAGATTTTCTTTGCTGGGTTATCTTTTATACATTAATTATACAGAAGAGCCTGCTTAAATGGATACTCCTTCTGTAAAGAGTGTTTCTTTTAGAGAAGGATCTTTTTGCTTGTTCTTTTGTTAAGAGATATTATCATAGAGCTATCAGAGAGATAGGTTGATATTATATGACAAAGTGTAAGTTTATTTCATTTTAGTGTAAACCATTTTCTGTAACTGATCGATGGGTTATTCTTATATGAAAAACTGTGTGACTATGATACGTGCAGTCAAATCATTCTTGGGTGTGGTGTTAAATCTTCATGAAAACAATTTTAAATTGAAAAAAATTAAGATGCCTTTGTTTGTGTTCGTTATATACAGTGTATGATAATATAAACTTCTAGTCTCTTCCAAGGTATTCATTTTTAGTATCATTCATATAATCATCCTGCTGTATAAGAACATTGAACATTTTCATTTTTCACTGCACTCATTAAGAACAAGTATCTAAATAACAGCAGAAAAATAAGCATTACTTTTTCAGATTTAAAATATTATTGTTTTCGTTTCAAATTTACATCTGGTCTTGGTGGATCCATCTTGCACAGATAACAATTTGGTGTATTTCACTCACCAAAACTATGTTATTTCTAATGAACTTGTCACTTCAACCCATTTTTAAGTGTACATTTCAGTAGTCTTAAATATATTCCCATTGTCATATAACCAATCTCCAAAATGTTTTCATCCTTGCAAATTAAGCCTCAGTTCTGTTCCCTTCCATCCTCATCATCTCAGTAACAACCATTCTGCTTGCTGTTTCTGTAATTCTGACTATTTTAGATGCCTCAATTTGGTAGACTTATACACTCTTTTTTTTTAAGATTTATTTATTTTTATTACAAAGTCAGATATACAGAAAGGAGGAGAGGCAGAGAGGAAGATCTTTTCCGTCCGATGAATCACTCTCCAAGTGACCGCAATGGCCGGTACTTTGCCGATCTGAAGCCAGGATCCAGGAACTTCTTCCAGGTCTCCCACGTGGAGTGGGGACCCAAGGCCGTCCTGCACTGCTTTCCCAGGCCACAAGCGGGGAGCTGGATGGGAAGTGGAGCTGCCGGGATTAGAACCTGCACCCATATAGGATCCCAGTGCGTTCAAGGCGAGGATTTTAGCCACTAGACCATGCCGCCGGGCCCAACTTATACACTCTTTACTTTTGTGTGATAGCCTTGTTTCACTTAGCATGATGTCCTAAATATTCACTCATGATGTAGCATGTAATAGGAGCTCTTTTGTTTTAAATACCTGAATAATTTTGCATATTATGTATTTTTAAATGTTATTTCTACACCAGATGGAGGGAATAAGATGGGATTTGCTACAATGCATCCGTAATTTCTGGATTATTATTTTATGTTACAATATTTAATCCTCCCCAAATGGGAACTAAAATAATCCCATTTTCTGTCAATTACCAAGCCCTTTTCTATTTTCCACAATAATGAAAAAAGTAGTTGAGTCATTTTGTTTGCTTGTGTTTTTCTTTCCATTCCAAGTTCCAAGGGTGGGGAACACCTGGCCTCAAAGGCCTTGAAATCATATAGCTTGGACGTGCAAAGGCAGCTATGGCGGGGGAGAGAGAAATCATACTTCAATCATCTATTGCAGGTTAATTTTTAGGTTGATAATTTTGTATGGTCCCATGACAGATACCATAAATATCTAACTGGTCCTTGACAGAAAAAGTAGGTTCCTCACTTTTTCTTCTTCCTGAACCTGGCTTATCATTTTTCACAGTTTTTCCAGTATTCTACAAGTTGATCCTTGCAAAGTTCCCGACCAACATTATACTGTTTAAAAGTTCATAGCTATGGAATGAAAATTCTCTTTGCTTTGTGGCCTTGACTCTTATTTGATTTGGCTTACTTGATTTATTAAAGCTTTTGAAATGATTTTTTAAAAGATAATTTTGTTTCCTTCTCTTCTTTTTTTGAGCTCTTATTTATCACTTCCCACTAGATTTTCCCTTTCCATTAAATATCAAACAAATACGTTCCTTAATGAACACTATGAATGGTTGAAAACTTAATGTTTTCTTTCATTATAACTAGGGAATTAAATTTAATTATTTTATGTAATGTGTATATGCAGTGCATAAAAATAAATCAACTTACACGATGGTTATTCTTTTGCAGAAACACGATGGTCACTTCACAGTCATCCAGCTAGTCGGGATGCTCCGAGGCATTGCATCAGGCATGAAATATCTTTCTGACATGGGCTATGTGCATCGGGACCTGGCAGCAAGGAATATATTGGTCAACAGCAACTTAGTATGCAAAGTCTCCGATTTTGGTCTCTCTCGTGTGCTGGAAGATGATCCAGAAGCTGCTTATACAACAACAGTAAGTTGATATGCCTTTTGCCGAATGTTTGTTGACTTTTAATACTGCTATTTGAATAATTCCTGGTTTGTTTCTTAATACTGCTTTAGTTTGTCATTTTCCTGATTCACCAAAATCATTTAATTAAGAAGCATTTTTCCATGTCTGAGTGCCAGTTAAGAAAGCAAAACCAGCTTCATTTACTTGATCATTTTCCCTTTTATTGAACTGGGACTCTAAATCATGTTTGAGGTCTTAGTCGTGATTTTCCTCATTGCAGGTCTGCTTTGCCTAAGATATTTGTATCTTCTTTAACTAGAGTTCTGGGTAGGCCCATAGTGCACAGTTAGTAACTCAGTGATCATAAAGAACCACTACCACTCAAATCACATTTAAAAAATGTATGTAATGTTTGATCATACTCAAACAATCTAACTTTATTTGAAGACATAATTATACTCTAAGCCCTTTTCTAAATAATATTTGATAAGAATGTGAACAGAAACAGAAAGCTAAAACTTTAGAACTCTACTGTCATCTGCAAATTATACCAGCCCAGTGTGACCTGTGGGTAGTTTAGATATTTCAAACAGATCCAATACCAATTTATTTACTTTTTTTATTTCTTTGGTTTATTTCTTTTAAGGAATTCAGTATCACTGTCTCTGTTTGGCTAGGATAAAGTTCCTAGTATGTAAAATTACACTATATTTGTTTAGCTTTTAATTTCACAACTGATTCACTTTACAGTTGGCTTCAATGAAAAAATGTCAGAATACCACTGAAAATATCTATAATTTGTTCTTTTTATCCAAATTTAGCATTTTGTAACATGCAATTTTATTATTCAATGCCACTTTATATATATATTTCATTTTATAAGATTTTTTATTTCACTGGCATTGAATTACTTCAGAATGAAGGCAAGTTTATCGTGATTGAAATACTTTATGCCATTAGTATGTTTGCTTTACAGAAAAGTTCTATATTATGTTGTCAATAATAATTCCACAATATGTTTGCAAAATATATTGTTCTAATGAACATTAATTGATTTCTGAACCTGATAAATAGAGTAGCAGTGTTTATGCATCTTACAATTCAAACAGAAAAGCTCATTAAAAGCAAAATTCCAATAATCTCAAATAAGTTGTTCATTTTAGGAAAGCAGTATTTTCAACTTCATATTCTGGAAAATATTATGATTTCTTTCTTTTTTCAACATTTTTATTTTCTTCTTCATTTTTGCGAAAATATAACTTGAAGCAAATGATAAGGTTATGCAATAATGCACATAAAATTTTTGTATTAAGCATATTATTTCTAACTCAGAGATATTCAAATGTTTTATATATATTACAAAATATATTTATATAATTTGCAACAAATCCAATAAATAAAAAAATAAAATAAGGAAATAGCTATTGGACTCTGTAAGTCTATGTAAATAGGCTTATAACACTTTTAACTATTGTTTAATAAGAGAAACTCACAACTGAATTTAAGATGCTAATAAAATTGGCAGCTACCCAAAAGTGGATGAATATATAGGCTTTACTGGATCAAATTTAAAATACTAACTTTAGAAATTTCTGTCTTATGTATCTAAAGAGACTAAGAAGTCTATAAAGTTGCTTTTAAAATTTGGTCAGGCGTTAGAGTTAACAACAAGTTAGGTAACCAGAATATTAACACTCCAAATAGTGCCTCTGAAAAGTTATGGATTGTGTCTAAACAGAGAAATATTAGTCTCTGAATTTTAGGTTATCAATTAAATGGCAAATACTGCAATTTTGTTCTTTTTTTAAAAGTTTCATAACTACCTGTTGAGAAGATTTTAAGGCACAAAATATCATTGACTTTTTACATAATATATACACACATTTGATACTCTTATTTTGAGCTCTTACCTTCCAGAGTTCTTGCTCTGACAGATAGGATTCGGCCTTCTATCATAGTTCACTGCAATTGCATGAGTTGTTTTCACTGAGATCTAACAAAGAAGTAAGTACAGAACAGCAAAGTTCTGAGGAATGCTGAACAAAAAACTAAACTTGAACTGGTATGAGAATCCATTACATAAACAGGTGGAGGAAAGGATCATGTTGATGGAAATGTGGACACCTGGACCAGAGGACAGGAGCCAGGCAGGAGGTGATGCTCTTAGAAATAATTGTGATAGTGACTGGGCAGCACTATAAGAAACTTGATGGTTTTTATATGGTGATAGAAGTACATTGTTCTATCCAAAAAGATGAATGAGAAAATAGAAGCATGTCTTAGAAAACATGTTCACAGTCACGTGAAGAAAAGAAGGAAATATGGAAGGGCTGGAGGTTGGCTTTGGGTGACAGGGAGACCAGTTAAGCAGACCAAGAAGGGCATAAGGCGTTAATTAGGGTAATGGCCATTGGAGCAAAGATGAAGGAGAGAACAGGAACTCATTCTAAACATGCACTGTACAGCATGCCACAGTAATTAGATAGAAATTGTAATGAAGGATGGGGTGTAAGGATGACTCTGATGTTTTCTAGATGAGGGAACTGGTTGAGTAGTCATGCTGTTAATCAAGACGCAGACTCCCTGTGATTGATGCCCTGGCAGGCGGCATTGCCTTGCCAGCAGCAGTAGAAACAGAAGGTCACAGATGCCATCTCAGGGTAATCAAGATAATGCCAGCAAGCACTGGCATTTGGCTGCAACTTTGTATAAAACTTAGCACTGTGCATGAATGTGTTTGCCCCGCCCCAAATGTTTTATATAGCTAATTAAAAGAGTTAAGATCATTAGGAAACTTGCCTGCCTAATGAAGATATGCCTGAATTCAAACAGGCCCTAGCTAATAAAATGCAGAGAAAGAATGATCATTTATACAAAAGCACTTTTTGCTTTACAAAACATGTTTCTGAAAGTAACTGTAAGGTATAAATTCCTTTGACCCTTTGGTGTATTTGTCTGTATGTATTTGGTTTTTCAAGAGATTGATTGCTATCTATGAACATATATTTACCTTAGATTTTTTTTCCTTGCTGTGTAAACATAATTGCTATTTCCTGGTTATCTGTAAAAATTTCAGTACTCTCCACAGAAAGGGGACAGTGAGGAGTTTAGAAATAGTAAGTCATTGTGAATAAGGATTGAGGGGGTTTTTTTCTTTTATTGTAAAGCAAACACTCCTTAAGACAGTAATCTGTTAGGAATCAGTAACTAGACATTTTTCACTAACAGAATTTTCCTAACTTGGAGATTCATATTTCAAAGCAAAGACAGGCAGGAAAGCCAGAATGACCAGTGTGAGCCCAGTGCTGGCCGCACTGCTACACTGGTTCACAATTGGCAGATATGTAGACTGGCCATAGAGTCAAAAAGAACTATGACAAGGATACCCTGCCCACAATGAGTGAGTTCTTTTGAAACTTATTTAAGAGGAAAAAAAATGGATTGGAAGCTAAAAGTAAGCAGAAATTCTAGGTTTTTTTCTTGAAATGTGAATTTTCTGCATACGTTGCTTGGGTTCTAAGATCCATACATTCATTGGGTACTTTACACAGTTTGTTATGATGCTGTTCTTTTGAGGGTCAACTGCAAAATGTTTCACTAATTATCAATCCCAGAAATGATTATCCAGCAAAGATCACTACATCAGTCACCAGAAACCGGAGTCCTTATGCTTGTGCCCTTTTCACCCTGAGCTACTGATGAGATCCACAATGCACATGGCACACATTATCACAGGAGCTGTGGCGACAGGTTTATTACTTACTCACAGGCAGCAAAAGAACAAGGAAGTCACAGCTCTCAAAATAAAGGATGGTGCCCAGGGCAGATGGAATTTGGACTATGTCTTACTTTGCACCCAGCTGAGGAACTTAAAAAGCAGTCTGCCCCAGGATGTACAAGAGTACTTCACAAAGTTAGTGGGACCTTGATCCATTTAGAACTGATTTTTATATAAGGTGAAAGATGGGGTCTTATGCATTACTTCTACAAGAAGATATCTAATTATTCCAACAGCATTTGTTGAAGAAACTATCCTTTCTCCCTGCGTTATTTCCTGTTCTCTTGTAGATTAGTTGGCTAGAGATGTATTGTCTCACTTCTGTGGTTTTTTCTGTTCCACTGAACTTCTTCTCTGTTTTTATGCTAGTACCAGATTGTTTTGATTGCCACTGACATGTAGTCTATCTTGAAATCTGGTGTTGTGATTGCTCCAGGTTTGTTCTTATTGTTTCATATAGTTTTAAATATTCTTAGTTTATTTTGTATCCATATGAATTTTTGCATCTTCTTTCCTATCTCTGGAAGAATATTGTTAAGATTTTTGATTGGGATCACATTGAATCTGCAGATTACTAGATTATGCATAGAAAAGTAAGCTACTACCCTCTCCCCACAAAAAATCCAAATGTCATGTGTTTTCTTTGATTTAAGATGACCTTTATGCAAAGTAAAAAAATTGATATATAATTTAGTAAATATATATATTTTTTCATGAACTGAACAACAGTGACTAGCTAGTGAAAAGTAAAGAAATTTTGCAATTTGGATCTCTACTTTCAAATAAAAGTAGGACTGCCAGTGAAACATTTGAATTTGCCTTTATAGTATATTAAATTTTTGACTTTTGTGTATACCTACCATGCCATCATACACTTAAGTAGCAAAAAGTTAAATTTGTAATGGTTACCAAAAGACTATATTCTATTATGATAATATGGAGGGAAATGTTAGGAAGGGAAAACAAGGAGAGGGAGAGAGAGGAAATAGAGGGAAAAACCCCTATACTACAAAACTGTGTTGTGGAAGATAATAAAGAGATAGAAGATGTTTATAGAGAAATGTGGTTGCTCGACCTGATGGCTGTAGCATGGGTGAGATACCCACATTTCCTATCACAGTACCTCAGTTCTGTCTTTGGCTTTAGTTATAACTGCAGCAATGTACACTGTGAAAAGGAACAAATGAAGATTCAAGTTGTTGGCTCCCAGCCACCCTCCTGAGAGTCCTGAAGTGAGTGCCCA